GCGTCCGTAGTGCAACGTCCTTTGGTGAACCCGTATTGATGGTCATGGAAAATAGAATTCGTGTTAAAGTGACGCAGCATTTGAGTAAGCATCAACCTTTAGAACACTTTACTGAGCACTGGCAAAATAGAGACCGGCCTATAGTTATTAGGTTCTGTACTATCGCCTGATTTAAATAATGGAACTACTTTACTACATACATACATACATACTAACATATTTTGTATATGTATAAACGAATGGAAAATTTTGCGATGAACTCCATTGATAATACAAGTGTACGGTGCTTTCAGTATACAATGCATCCTGTTTATTCAAAAGGATAAAGTTAGAACTAAGAAAACAAACTTATGGGTCATGTGATTCTGGCAGAGGAGAACAGATACATAATAATGAACCGTGTCTTGAAGCCTGACTCCGTCTACACAATGACTGAAACCGGGTACCAACGCTTCCTAAAGAAAAGCTCAAGCCTTTTGAACTACAATCGCTAGTTTGCCTTCCGAGCGGAGAAAATGAAGCTAACACAGTCTTTTTTATGGTATAGGCCAGCAAACGAGCTGACGGATTACCTGATAGTAAGCAATCAGCGCCGCCCATTCACACCCCGCAACACCAATGTTATGAGTGCGTTGCCGGCCCCGAAAACAAGTATTTAGGAGCTCACACATAGGTCCCATTACAATAGTTTTTCCGCGGTGTTTAGTGGCTGGGTTTCTCCCAGTTATAGTCTCCTAAGTTCCTTTAAAGCTAAGTCATTCTGTCTCCTGGGTGGAATCTACAGAGTAAAGTGGAAACTATTTAGTTTATTCTTCTCCTAAAATATCTCCTAAAAATCTTTTGGAATATTTTGTTCCGGGATCCGAGACAGTCATTCATGTCCCTGGGACGCGCCGCAGCTTCAATGTTTCGGTGTTTCTATGGTTGTATTTATTGTAGATCGTGGAATACCACCATATACCCTACTATTTACAATTTTGGAATTGCATCGGTTTAAGTAGGTTTTGGCGGGCTTGTCTGCAACTTAGTAGCATGACGATGGTTATTGATAAGGATCCCGTTACCCGTCTAGACAGTCGAGACAAGTTGACACAACGCATTCCATCTTGATAGACAGTCTTCCTATTAAAACACTAGACTAAACTGCCACGTGCCCACCATATTACATCAACACAAAAAGCCTAATATAGATTTACTACAGACGAAATCCCTGGCCTACATTAACTAGAACATTCTACGCACACAGACTCCCATGCAGTGACGTCAGAACTCGAGCATATAATAAATTCATACTAGTTTAACGAGGAACAAATTGATTGTTTTTTCGCATTGAATTAGCTGCAAAACAAAAAGACGGTGTTGGAAATTATTTCACTATTGGAACGCTTAATTTTCTCTATTTCATGGAAGTTCTTCAAGGTCGACGTTTGAGCGTTTAATTTCCTGGTGGTCAGCAATAAAATAGCTAACGGTTGAGCACGGCTCCTACAATCTAAACACTTGAAGATGACACCTAATTTGTAATGTTGTGGAAATACAGACGCTGGGAATGAATTCCACTGTATAAGTAAATGTGGGAAAGCCAAGCCCAATCCTTCCACTCTCCTCATCGCTTCCTAATTCTTAAATGTCCAAAACCCTAATCTCCTAAAGGCCGGCAAAGCAGTCGTAACACTTCTGGTGTTGCAGGCGCACATGCGCGACGCACATTGCTCACCATCAGATTGTTTTCCGACCTATCACAAACAAAATAAAAATTGTTTTGTTGTAGAGTATCAGGTCGTACACATCACGTACTACTCTAATGTACATTATATCAATTTCCAGAGAGATGAAGCTACCGAGCTAAAAGCATATTTCGCAAAACGGAATGTTTATTTGACGTTACAATGATTGAAGTATAAAATTAAAATGTTTTGCAATACAGTAATTGGTATTGGATGGAAAACACCTTAGGTTTTTTAATGATCTGGTTGATATTGAAAAGTTACGTTCATATCAGCTACCCGTGGTAGAACAACGCTAAAAGAACATTAGAGGGGTTTTTAAATTCGCAAGGCAAGCGAAAATGAATCCTAAATGTGTTGCCAAGCGCTAATCTCGAGAACGGTTGAACTTATTCTATTGTTGTTATTTTCAGGGGAACATTTTTATGATAAAAATGGTAATAGAGTAGAGTAGAGTAGTATAAATGGAGCCTACTATGGCCGATGTCCAGGGTTACGGGTGCAAGGGCAATAATATATTAGCACGGCTCAAAGCAGGAGAAGAAACGGAATGGATCATAGTCAGTAAGAGTCTGACACTTCCCTCGCCCATTTAGGACGGTGACAGGACGGGAGAAATATTAGTTGATTTTCCTCTCTCAAAAAAAAAAGTAGGAGAAACTAGACTCGATCAGGGTTGAGCAGAGTAAGGTAGAGTAAAGCGGGAGTGAAGCTGCGGAAAAAACCTAATAAATAATATCATAATCATAGTAATATACAACTGTACCTCACTAAGAACCTCCTGGTTGTTCTAAATATACCAGATAAAACTAAACAACCCGACTGCGTCCACACACGTCACGTGCTCAAAAATAAACTGAGAATACGAGAATCTGGGTTTGAATAACGACACAATAAAATACAATGACATTTATTTGAAAAAAACAGCGAATCCAAATGAATAGATAGATTTTAATTTAAGCTCAGTTATGCTGTCTTTTGATACACTATACACTAGGAATTAAAGAGACAGACTTTCACGTGTATAAAACTAGTACCAAGGACAAAAAAACTTAGGTACAAACCAAACAATAATATTTGTTTTCCAACAACACGAACAATGACCTTTAAAAACTCCTAATAACAACACAATCTAAATACTCAGACTATCTTGTATTATCTCGTTATCAATAAAGAATTTCTTTCTTTCTTTTAATACGAATAATTATTTGTGTAAGTAAGCAAAAAAGATAAGTGACCACATCTTAAAAAAGTTAATGATAACATCGTTTTGTGTTGAGTACAGAGTAAAAGAAAGGTGGGAATGTGCCATATAATTTTTTTGAATCGCAACTACTTACTGCTGCTTACCTACATAAATGTTAACTGTATATTTTTACGCTGATCATATTAACAAAAAACAAGTACAGTCGGAGGCATAATAGCTACATAATTATTAGTAATAATTAATAGACATAGTGTTTAGCTCCGCACATCTCCAACACCTTAACAATTAACAAAATACTTTCGCTTACAAAATGCCGAGATATTTAAATAAAAAAAAGGCCAAGCTTCCCAAACAGAAATCTAACGATACGAACTGATATTCAGAGACTTGTATTCCGAGATTACCTTCGTCCCTATAACCTGTCTGTATATCGAAGGCCCAAGATCCTCCAAGGAACAAAGGATCGAACAAAAGTTCTAACCTTCTCGAAGTTTCCATGGCTACCTGCACACGAGTTTATTCACCGCTTCGCTGAGCCGTCTCAAGCGCCTTGACTTTCAAACTGGCTTATAACACTTGTACACTATTGTGATTTGTCGACTATTTAGAATCTATGTATAGTACTAGTAGGATTAAATACTTTTTCAATTCCTGTTTCGGATGAACAATTAATTGTAGATACTGTTGCAATGTCGTGGTATTTCATGTACGGGGCCAGACAATTAATGTCCTACTTAATCAGACTATACAGAATAGCTCATCACTCCTTCTAGAAAGTTCTGTTTCATCATGCGATACAGTTGATCTGAATCCGAGGACTCTGTCTGAATGCACGGAATCTCTGGTTTTCACACTATCATTGATAAGAATACCTTATCTATTCTATTGTTATTTCGATAACATTTTATGAATTTCCATGTGTGGCTGTGGATTGTTGCTCTTATGGGATGAGAGAGATGATGTCATTTAGAAACTGTGACTAAAGAAATGTAACCAAAAGTAGGTAAGTACTACAAACTGGCATGACATTGTGATGTATCTATCAGTAAGGAAGTAGGTACTACCTACTATGGGTATGGAATCTAAAAATCCAATGTATAGTCCAGAAATAAAACTTCGAAAGCCCTTTATTACAAAGTACCTAAGTAATTGATTCCAAAATCAAAACGAAATATCTATTTTATTCGATTTGTATTTTAAAGATTGTTTAGATAGAAAATAGTTTGTTTAGAGGCTGAAAAATCATTACGAATGATTTTTATAATTAAGGCAAATGTAATATAGTTCACACCCTTCAATAAAAAATATAACAATTACCCCTACAGGTGCAGGCCCAGGACAAAAAAATAGCATGTGTAATAAACTAATAACGATAAATGATTCAGTGTTTAAATGAGTCACATAGACATTTTATGGCTGGAAAAGTAGTAAAGTATCTACTTAAAACAATGCAAGTTTTAGAGCGAGACAGAAAACACTTTTTTTAATCTCGATCTCTTTCATTCTATTTGCTTTACATTGCCGTGTAAATGTCGAGATGATAATAAGGGCAATTGTGCTTATCAAGTAATTGGTTTTAATTGAGATAGACACATAGATAAAGTAAATAACAGTTTTCTTATATAAATTGTGAAATATACCTTCAGAGTGTCTACTTAGCAATAGTTCCTATATTGTTTACGATATGTACTGATTGTAAGTTCGCGACATTAAAACACAGGGAACCCGACTCATTGACTTATACTCGTATTTTTACGTTTCAAAGTACAATGACCCCAAACTATAAACTCACTCGCTCATACTACACTTACTCCAAAAATACTACGAGCCAAAGATAACAAATACAGACTTTTATTTGCTAAAATATTTCCATAAAACGAAACGACAGTTCCTTGCAAACTGCATGAAATTAAACTTCAAACATTCGAATTATGCTAAAATGTATGAACGCACACATCAGACGTTCATTCATGAATTCCATGACGCAAGTGTTCGAAAAACATAAATGAAACACACAATTTAGCACCTATTACAATTAGAATAAGTTATAAAATAACTGTACTTACCACCTTAAGCGATGTAACACGAAGTACACACGATCAGCTGATCACAATACGTAAAATTCACACAGTATTTTTGTAAATAAAGCGAACACGTGCGGCCGGCTTGACAGGCAAAACACATCTGGACAGTTAGTTTAGGTCGCCGTTCGTGTCGAGACGCGGGAGTGCCGCGCCTCTAGCCACAACACCGCATTTTTGTAACACAAAAATAAATTCGCTCCAGAAAAATATTCCTTTTTCGCACTCAAAATGCGCCCTCACACCACGATGTTTCCTCTCAGAATGCTATCATTTATGTTAATTATATTGTTTACACAGTTAAAGATATAAATGCTTATTTAACTTTAACAATCCAGATAGATAACAGTGGAATTTTACGTAATAATTTTTTGTTACTGATGCAAATATCATTCGCATTTTTTCTTTCTTTCAAAACTTTATTCTGACTGATGTATTGACATTTGGGGATGTCAAGGTTAACGCACGAAAGAAGGTTTTAATACCTTTAGTTCCATTTTAATATTGGTATTACTTGGTAATTATTATTAGAATAGTGGAGCTCTCGAATACGCTCGATCCCTGAGAACCACTATTGGAGAGCTGCTAATCTCAACTGATTAGTCCACTGCAGAGGTCACGGTAGTCGGTTCACTATTTTATGTATGTAGATGTATTTAAATAAACTTGTAGGTACCTATTATTGTAGTAGAACATTAAATGTACACGGGTAGATATACCTCCATAGATGCGAAATGTCCCAAAGTAAGAAAGCAACTCGTTCATAAGTATTAATTAAAATATACATAATTAAAATGCTTATTTACTTACATCATATTACATAAAAAGCCGAGATATGATATATTTTGAAACAAAATTTTTATCAGATGATGAAACATAACAATTATGAGTTTGTAAAAATACAAATGGTTAATATTCAATAATATAAAGGATATTATTGAATATTAACCATTTATTAAATATTTATCAAAATCCCGGAGGTCCTAGACAGACTGTGGATCTCCTCCAAGGATCTGCCATTTTTAATTAATATCTAATCTGCGAAATCTGTGAACGTTTCATGTCGCAATAAAAAATAAATACGTAAGCAAAGCTATACGCTACTTCATATTTAAGTAGGTTATTTTATGAAAATGTAGTATATAGCCGTGTTCATTACATCCCGTCCAATTTTTTATTTCCAATAAGTGATAGTCATAAACGTTCATTAACAACATAACATTTCTCGTACATAATCGTCAATCGCAATTTTATTTTACCATTTACCTTAACGATGCACTAATTAATTGTATTGTCACAATTATTATTATTAACGAGAGCATAATTATAATAATTGTAAAACATTGAATTTATCACGTAGGTACATAATTTACACTCATATTCTATAATATTGTATCAAAGAAAATACAATAAGGTACAATCTCAGGTCACGTAACCGTAATATAAATTAAAAGATACACTGTTCATAATTCTTATTACATTTTCAGTATGAATTTACGTTGCATAATTATTGAGAATTTTAGGTAATTTGTGCAGGGCATTTAGGTAATAGCATTTAGTGTAGAATTTGGTTTGTGACATTACAATACATTGGGCACAATTTAGACTGTGGTCATCTATCATTGGCAAAAACTAAAACTTTCGGAAATCCTTTTTCTCTCCTCGTATTCTTCAGTTGCTTTACCTATGTAAGATTTTTATATTTTTAGAGGTAATATCTTCTGAGTTTCTTCTGCCCTGACTGGGGTGAGGAGTGTCAGACTCTTTGTGACTAAAAACCAAGTCGTTCCTTTTCCAGATCTCCGGATCTGATGTATGTACGGATAAAGGAATAAAATTTTCCCAATACAAGCAAACACACAAAATCTTAGCTGCTTCACATAAAATTCAATTAAAACAAAAATATCCAATAAATAACTTTAATAACATTCGGTTATATGGACTTATATTACAATAACATTTTCAAAAGTCGTAATTTGATTTTACACATTACACAATGACATAATGTATATAGGACCATTAATTCAGTACCTTAAATACTAATATCATAAGAACATCTTAAATATATTGTGCATATAAAAGTGTTATATAAATAAAATTTCATTTAAAACTAATTTCCCTATATTGTGCACTCTCTACGTTGTCATAAGTCTACATTCTTAGGCCAAGAGCTGACGTTAATTTTCACAAAACCATTTTTTATTTTCGTCAAGTATTTTATTTCAGTTTTTGTAAGTTATTAATATTTGTTTATTATATAGGACTGATTTTAGAGTATGAATGCAGTTATCAAATATACATTTTTATCAATAAATATTAAATATGGTTATAAATAAGGCTAATGGCACATGAATTTCAATTTACATCTAGTAGTTTTTAATTTATTAAATTTCTCGATTAGTAAGTTGGTTTATCTGTTATTTTTATCGCAGTAAACATCGGTAAAAAAGAAATTGGTTGTTTTCTAAAAGGCTACAAGACACTTTATTTTTATTCGTAATATTTAGTATTTTATAGAGTAATTTTATCAAAAAGAAAATAGTATTTTTGTTCTAAACATCATTGTATCACTGGCCGCAAAACTCTTGAATTGATGAAAAGAATGTTCTAATGAAAGATAACTTTAGACATTATAGAGGGTAATGGTACCTTGCGAATTTTTCGCTGCCAAAAAATATATATATTGCGACTGACAATGAGGTAATTGGCCAAAATATTTTATAATACGTATTTATTAACATCCCACGCGTAAAATTATTGTGAACCAACGTCAATGACCGATCATTCGATTGTAAAAATACAAGAAGGTATTAATAACAAAACCCCTAAGTGGGCAATAAAAAAGAAATTATGATATAACTTGCTACCCAAACACGTGTCCAGAATACAAGGCGGATAATCTTAATTGCTCTAAATTGGTGTTTAATTTAAATAACTGGCCCAATTGACAGGCAGACGCTCCTTCAATTGACTGAGAAATTGAGACAACTTTGTAATGTGTATCAAAATAACAATAGGAATATTTTATCACTACATAGTATAAAACAAAGTCGCTTTCTCTGTCTCTATTTCCCTATTTATGATTTAATCTTTGAAATTACAATTTCTCCATTCCGCTACATTAAATTCTAAGAAGGCAGTCAGAAAGATGTATGTTAAAATTTCCTTAATTTGGTGTCTTTTATAACTTAAACTAATTCTTAATATCTAATCAGCTGCCCACGATTAATTCGTAAAACAAACATTTTCAATACTAGACTAAAAGCAAACTAGATAAAATTCAAATTTAGGTAATAAATCGCCTTAAAAGCTAAGAACTCCGTTTGCGAAGTTAAACATTATTCGTTTTCGAAGATTATTTAAACTAAGTAAACAATTTTGATTAAATACTTTGTTGATTAAATAACTACAGGAATAAATATTCATAAATACTAGTTTAATAAAATATGGGAACCGTTAATTTTATAATCCGTGCAATTTAGGTGATTAAAAGAAATATGGTTCAACTCTTAGACTAGGCAAGGCAAACCGCACATTCATTCTGTAAAGGAATAGTTGACATTTTTAGACCAATTAGATTTGATTTACATCATCAATAATAATTCTAGACTTACCGTTTATTCACTAGAAAGGAGCGCTGATACAAAAGTCAGTAGTCAATAGTATTCATAAAAGAAAAACTTCAAATTGCAAAACCAATCATTGAACTAACAGGACTATATTCGCTAGTGGCGCCATTAGCAAAAATGACGTTTTTTTGCGTTGCCTTCCTTTACAGAATTTGGGGATTGGGGAGGCAAGACCCTTGGCTTTATTATATATTTTATGGGATAGTTCGGCAGTCGAGCAACGACCTGATGGTAAGCAATTGGCGCCGGTCATGGACACCCAAAAACACTAAAGGAGTTACGGAGTGCGTTGCCGCTGCCGGTCTTTAGGTATAGGAGTTTCTATATTTTAGATTGGGAAGCGATGCATTAGATCAAAGTTTAAGTGTTCTGGGTAGTCTAAAAGTCTAAGCCATGCTAACATCATCAAGAGCAGCTCGACGAAGCTGGTAGTTCTTCACTGGCTGAATGAGGGAAACTAGAATACCAGCCACTACAATCCAGCCACCAGCCAGGTAGAACGATAGCTCCCAGGATAACGTCACGTCGTAAATGAAACCTGAAATGAGTAAGATTGAATTACAAACTGATATAATTAAAATTAACATCAAAAGTTTTATATTATGATTAAACTGTAGTTTCAAAGCAAATTTAGTTTTGAATCAGAAATCTCTCTACAGAGAGCGGGGCCTGCTTTTCTAAAACTGAGAATTTACTTAAGCATTCTATTAAATTACCCATTCCTTAATATCTTTATCTTTCAAAGCATATTATCACATTGTTTACGATATATTTACCTGATAGTGGTGGACCAATAAGATGACCGATTCCCTGCGCTAGTAAGACCAGCCCATATGCCGAAGTAAAGTCATCCAAAGACACCAGTTTCACCAACAGACTCGGGGTGAAGGTATACGATGCTGCGAAAAACAACCCAAAGGCTGCAGCCGCAGAGGCTAGAATCCAGTAATTTGTTGCGGCGGCTGGTGGAATAGCTGCTACAGAAGCACCGCAGAGTACGAGGCACACTGCATACAGGCCTCCTATGGAAACTTGGGGAAAATCTCCTATCCAACCAAGCCCGACCTGGAAAGATGAAGTAGATTTCGTTCATAAAAACAAGCTACCATAAGTAGGAATTCAAATTGATAAACTTATACAGTAACATTAAACAAATTTAAAAAAAAAAGTACTTTGCCTTACACTAGTATTTGGTCCTGTGTTGTGGATGCGTTTACAAACATACAATTTCACATACACACCACACCCAGACCCGGAATAACAATTTGTGGATCACACAAAGAGTTGTTCCGTGCGGGAATCCAACCACGACGTTGCACGAGACGTTGCACGGCAGCCAGTTGCTGAGCCACCGCACCAACCGCGCAGACCGAGTTGTAGTTAGTTAGGTCGGTAGATAGATAAATTGGATAGGTATACTGTATTACAGCAGACATAAAAGTACTTTATATATTTTAGTCAGTAAGAGTGTGATACTTCACGTCCGACCCAATTATGGGGGGAAAAGTCATTTGGTGATGTTAACCCTTAATATAAGTAATTGTGTACGTAAAGAAATAAATTGAAAACCATCTGTCCTTGTTTACAATAATATTATACATGGTATGTGCGTCAACCTTAATCTTTAGCAGACAATAAAAAAAATTGCCTAATGCGAAGGGCCAACAAAACCCATCCAACTCATGATATTTACAAAGTACAATTTTGTTCGAATCTAACATGCATAATGAAATACATTTAGAAATCAACAACGACCAGAATTTGGCACAAACAGCGTCCTCAGATATTTGGAAACTGGATATTATCTATTTCTGGCCACCACAGTTATGTCAAGTCACCTCGGGTTTCGAGGACCTTGGATTAAAACCAGACCAAGATCAGTTTCGTGACACACATGAGTAGGATAGCAGTCATGTGCCATTTGAAACGAAGATTTATAATAATAGTTTCAATACAAATGTTATTACACGACTTAGGTATACGAAAACTGATCAATCATCATCAATAATGCGGTTTTTCTATTTCTTTTGCGTTCCCCTTGTAACTGATATTGTTATGACCTTGATATAATAAAGCTAATGCTGTGTGAAGAAGATATTCATATCAGATATTTTAACCTACGTGAAATTAATTGTAAGTTTGTAAACGCACCCACAACACAGGACAAAATCCTAGTGTGGGGCAACATTTTACGAAAATTCAGTGAAACATTTCTATTTCATATAATATGTATAGTAAAAAATGTTCGTTATGTGCCACTCTATCAAATTGGCATATACTTCTTCTCCAAATCCAAAGTTAGGGGTTATCGGCGCGTAGTGTTCCGCGCGCGCCTCAAAGAGCCAATAGACCACCACAGACGGGGCCCCATAGGGCTAATGTTCAGCCGGGGTTGCGGGGTAAGCGCAATGAGGCACCGCGACCTCGGCCTAGAGCAGGAGTAGGAACAGGGGGGTTTTTAGTCAGTAAGAGACACTCCCTCCCGCCCCTGGACGGGAGAAGTCATTTGATGATTTTCCCCTCACAAAAAAAGGGGGTTATAAAGTAGTAAGTTATAAAGTTGGGTGTCATACAAAACAAAACTTTGATAATTAGGAATAAAAAAAAATAATGGAAGCTTCTTAAATTCCTTATTTACTGGCGATTATCCAAGACCGGGGACTCGAGATGCGAACCTTAGAAAATATGTATGTAGGCAAAGAGCCAAATAAATAAGTACGAAACTCTACTATCTAACATTTTGGCAAAATTGTGGAATTTTAATAGAAATAAATAGTATTTCACATAAAATATGTAGAGGTTATTGAACGTGACTGTTTGTTTTTATTTAGCCTGTTTTTTTTCTAATTGACATAACAAGCCAAACATGAGTATAAACAGAGAATTTTTATGTTCTTAAAAATATTTGAGTTGTACACCTAATTTGCATACATTTTCGAATTTGATAATTAATAATTTAAAAAGATAGAATTTGATTCAATAGGTACCTACTAAGTACGCTAATTTCGATTTCTACAGAGAAAAATGTTACACACAACAAATTATCTATAACATAGATAGTATACCATACAGCAAAGAAACTGAATGAAAAAAGGCAGGACTCACCATTCCAATAGTATTAGTAATTCCAATTAAGCTGAGCATGCCAGCGCCCTCATCGTCGGTGTACCCCTTGTGTATCATGTGCTCGGCGAGGTAGAAGTAAGGCACGATGAACCAGATGAACAAGATGATGGTACCCAAGCATAGGAGGTTGAAAGTCATACGCTTGAACAGGGTCACGTTGAACATGTCCGCGAGGCAGCTGAAGCAATCGTCGTACCAGTTCTGGAAGCGAATGGACACTTTTAAGTAAAAAAACAAATAAGGCAAGCAGCTAAAAATATTGTAACCAGAAATTTGATGTGATAAGATTTTAAAGAACCAACTTAAAATTTACCTAAGCTTGCACGGATGCACGCGAGTTATTTTTATTTCCACGTAATTCAAGAAAAACTAAAATGTTCTCGTTAAAGGAGCATAAATATAACTGTTATTCCTGTTTTAACAAAAAGTAATTACAGTATTTCTTTTTCTTACCTCTTCCTTCTCATCGATGGTTATCATAGAATTCTTGAATATGTCTGGACACGATGACGCCTTCAACCTATACCTCTTAATGTTCAACATGGCATTTCTATGGCTTATAGAATTCAATGGCATCTTCAAATCCCTCAAGTAATGATGATTCACAGACAGTTGCTTCTTCAGCCAATCTTTTCTATTTTCTTTACTATCTTGCTTCACTAGTTCCTTGTCATCCTTCGTTTCTGACTTTGCCTTTCTCATTGCTTTTCTCTTTGGATTCTTAAGTTCATACTTGTCTGAAGCTTTATCTCTATTCTCATATTTCTCTGAATTAGTTCGTTGGAGAACGTCATTCGTGTATTTAACTACAGGGGGGTCGTTTGATTCGTTGCTCGGTTCTTTTAGCAGTTGCTTCTTAGTACGATTTATAGCAAATGCTGGATATTTGACCTCGATTCCGTAGGCTCGACTAGTCTTTTTTACTAATGTGTCTAATGTTCCCATTGATAACTGAAATAGTTAAATATTTGTATATTTTAACAACATGAAAAATTATTGTATCTAATTATTTATTTACTTTACAAACTAGATAAGATGAAGAGATTTGGAAAAACAAATTTAATTGTTAGACATGAAGTATGTGTAGTTATAATATTATGTAGATTGCTGTTGCTAACCAAGATAGCTTTAAGTGTATAAATACCTTTTCGCTGTAAGTGAGGTACGTAGGTAGGTTCTCCACGGATTGAGATTTTGAGTTTAAACGTTTAGATTTCTTAAGTTTCATAATGTCCTGGTGACGTTTAATGTTGTCTGCTTCTTGCTTGATCACCTTTTCCGGAGAAACTCCTCTTTTGATCAAACCAACCATGCTCTTGCCGCGTGTTGGTGCGTCAAAATCAAAGACATACGGCGTAGAAATTGAAGCTGAACTCGAATGTCTGGACTTATCATCATCTTTCTTAAGTTTTCCTTCATCTCTGCTGCTCTTCTGCCGTTTCTGCTCTTGTATCCACCATTCTGGGTCTCTCATAACGCATCCACAAACACACAAATTCAATAGAGTCCCAGACAGTAAGAGAATTGTACCTCTCCATCCGTACTCATCAATAAAGTATTGTGTCATAGGTGCATACAAGAATGTTCCAACTCCTGTTCCACATGCTCCTAAACCTACTGCCAAATTTCTTTTTTTCTCAAACCAGTACGCTATAGATACGACAGCGGTAACGTAAACCAGCCCGAGACCCAAACCAGCAATAACTCCAAAAGTAATCATCATCATTTCTAGGGTTGTAGAAATTGAAGCAAGAACAAATCCTAATGTTGAAATCAGGCCACCGAGAATAGTCATGCTTCGACAACCATATCTATCTACCAAAGCACTCATCACAGGACCAGAGAGTAGTGGCACAGCAATGAACAAGCTTCCTATCCAAGCTGTCGTCGATTTGCTGGCTTCAAATTCTTCCAGAAACTCTATGTAGAGTAATCCAAAAGAAAAGCTGATACCATCGGCTATCATGGATATTACGAAAGAAGACAGCACAACCACCCATCCCCACCCTCCATCTGGTATTTTAACTTTATCTTTATCCGATTTTTCATCATCGTGTTTCTTAGTTTCAACGTTTCGATCAGCAGGATTCACCGTAATTTTGACATTACTAGCTTTCGGCTTATCTAATAACGCAATTGCTTCATCGCCCAAGTTCGGAAGTTTCTTTTGTATTGTTGGCAGTCGTTCTCTAGTGCTGAATTCTAGGTCAGGGCTCGAGAACGAAGCGGTACCAACACTAGTAGTATCATCTTCTTCACCTTTGCAAATTCCTGATGTGGATTCAGACAGGAGAGATTCTCTTACAGCACTTTCTCTTACTAGTTCCCTATTCTTAGGAGTCCTAGTAGATCTCAAAATAACTGGTTCCCAATCTTGTTCCATTATTTACGTTTGTACTACAAATAATACCATAGAAAAATACTGGCAGTTGTTGGATGTTTGCTTGTAAACTTATGTTCTTAATCTTGGGTCTCGGGCGGAGTAGCGGCTGGCTTGCCGGGCCACACTGTTGAGTTTCAATGTATTTGGCTTATTTTGACCGGCCACCATTAAGAACCGGGGTAGGATCTGCTCAGTGACGTCACCCATACACGCGTGTTGGCGGTAAGTGGCGCGACTTAGCGCCACAACTTGACGACCCAAGAACGCAGAGCTCGCTGTTGCGATATTTATATCTGCGAAAAATTATTACACATATAATTTTAATCACCTACTGTGTAAAACTACTCATCCCACGAGACATACCGATTTCTGTCTAGGTAATTAAAAATATTTCTTTTCGTCTTATGAACGTAATTAATTATGAGAAAAATAATCATCATTCATCAGCTGTTTTTCGACCTAAAATATTTATTTTATTTTCCTTACTAATTCTCAAGAAATAAGTGAATACCTATGCTACCTTGACGCAAAAAGACATTAATATCAGTCAAGATATAAGCAAATGTTAAAGTAAAATGTATTTAATGTTTATCGTGTTTTGTTTAAATGTTGTTTGACGTCAATATCTTCATACACTTTCTTCATTCAATATGTCAAAGCTCTACCTACCTACTGCCTTTCTTTCCTTTCATTTTTCATGGTCCATTTTTTCGTATTTAACGCAGCCTATACATAAGTAAGTTGGTGATAGAATGTGTAGTTACACTAAAATAAACCTATAGTTCTATACATACCTTTTCGTGCTTGTCTATAATAATATTCAATACATTATCTTTCTATCTAATGTCGTATCAACTCATTACATAATAGCGTTACATAATATTCCTAATTAAAAAACTTATTACAAATACGCATAGGTAGACGCTTAGATATTAATATCACTTATCTACTATACTAGGTTTTTGTACGCGACTTCGCCCACACACGTGGACCGACCATAAAATTCCCTATCCAGTATCCTAATTAAAAACACGAAAAAAAATAACGCATAAAACACCTTCGCAATTATTCTTATTAGGATCAGTTTAATTAATTAAGAAAAAACTTGAAAAATAACTGATAAGTATCTAAGGAGGTATTTTTTTAGGATCCGACAACCGAGTTCTTCTGATAACTAAAGTTAGAAATCATCACACTCAGCTTAAGATTTCTAATTAAGAAAAATGTTACTTACGTGATAGACATTTTACGTACAATATACTAGTAAACCTGTACCTATATTTAGGTATATCTTTATATCCAAAGTTACACTGCCTCTTTCAATGAACAATTTTTCAGTTGCGAGGCATTCAATCACTTTTATTTAGAGAAAATATAAGTACCTAATAACTCAGTTGTTATAGCACAAAATTCCGTTATCAATCTTTTGATAATAAATTAAATTAATTCGTCGGAAAAACCAAAAAAATAAATAAAACAATCAGCGCGGGAAACAAAATAGCTGACTTGTCACTACAATATACGATCGAAATTTGAAATTGTTTGAATTGTTGCTACATAATAGCATTTCACATCATAGATAATTAAAAAAATATTAACACCGTTACTAACCTGCATAAAACCTCAAAGGTAAATAATTCGTCAGACGAGCACTCAAAACGGTATCCCAGGTCTATATACGACCGGCATGAGACGAAGCGATCAATAAAGGGTGGTTCTGGGAGGACAGGGTGGCGCCTCCATGGACATCACCAGAAATCATGAACTCCTTCCCCTCTCTTTACCCAAACCAAATCCCAACAACTAGGGGGCTTTTATATAGTAGGTCAGAGGTCTTCCAAACTAGTCGCGTCTGACTGAAACCTTGTGACGTAGCCGTGACATCACATAGAAATATAATGCGTTTATGTGCAAGAAGTTAATGCTAAGAAGGTACCTGGTAGAATATCAAGTTAATGTTCAATTAATATCATTGGTCGAAAATTAGAAGAGTCATTAGCGGGAACCTTTGTTTTTCAAACAAATAATCAAGGGTTTTACTTTTCCTACTATATTTTATTTCTATGTTCCTATTTACCTAAATGCCGTTAGCTTCTACGAAATGTAGCTTTTATACTAATTGAATGATGCAATTATGATTAAGCTTGTATACTTTTTTGTATTTTTCTCATAAATCGATTTGTCTCATAAATCCCAAATAATTGCGCCTGGAAAAAATAAATAGCAATTATATTTAACTCAAATTATGGCTAGTGGTGTTTCATTTCATTAATCAGATTATTTTTTATAAAAGCAAACAACATTTTCAGTTTTTTTTAATGATAATCCGATCCGAGTTATATAAGTTAGTTATCATATTATAGTACTATCGAGACGTTGTAGACACCTCACCGTCTTGACGCAAAAGAATACAGATCCCTTGGGGGTGATTTACGTAATACCCTTATAACCTGGCCTTCAACAAACGCAGTAAGTATATTATTAAAATAGATAGCTGCAAGGAAAGTTCCACTTGACAAGACATGACTACGAAAATAACCAAACACAGTTTTTTTCTGGTACCTATACGTACTATGCACAGTCAGTCCGTTTTGTTAATTTTATCTTTAATTCAAATTACTGATAAGGACCCGATCCTTCAGGCTAATTATTTAATTATGCATCGGCCATCGGCTTATATATTTTTACAGGTTTAAACAACCTGGTATATATTTTTACTAGTGGCTCGCCCTTGCTTCTGACGACAAAATTTTATTTTTGTTTCATAAAATTCTATTCCTAGCAATAAAAATCTAACAAAAACAGAATTAACAAAATAGGTCTAGGTGTTGTTGAGTTATGCGTATTACCAGCACATTTAAAATACCTACGCGATACAGACAGTAATTATGAGTAAATACGCAATTATTTGCAATTTTTTACGATCAGGCGTTTAATTTACGTATATGTAGAGGTAGTTTAGTATGGAGAAAGTTTGTGTACAAATAAACTATGTATCTTACTAGTGGGGTAATAAAACATGTCCAACTAACAAGACAGTTTTTTACCCCTAAGTCCCTTGAGTACCTCCTCAATTCTATTTGGTGCTCGTAAAAGTTTACGACCAAAAGTTCACGATAATGTCAGTCGCAAAAGGCCTAGCAGGTAAATGGCTTTTTATTAGTTCTTCGATTATATCATAAATCGAATATATAACGGAACTGATAAGTAAGTATTCGGATTTTGAGTTTATTCTCTCATAATTTCAATCAAATGTATTTAGCTATATAGTCTACATCTCTATCCAACAGTTTTCTATGTTAAGCTTAATAGTGCGCATTACTATCGCGTTACTGAAAAGAAAATACCTAGTTTGTGGCTCTTAAGGGTCAAGGTTAAGGTTAACCTATTAGATAAATACTTTGAAATATCTATACGAAGCGGAAAAGTAATGACGAACACCGGCCAAGAAAACAAGCATATTGTCGTTCACGTATTTTTTATATATCAAGAAAAAATGAATAGGATATTATTATGCGGTTAAAAATACGAATATAAAGTTAATAATTTTATATATGTAGGGCATTATATTGTTTTTTTTTTAAGAAACAACTTTGTTTACATACACTTAGTATTTCTGAACGCGCCTCAAATAATTTTGACGATGAACGCATTGTTTCCAAAAGTGTTACATGTTCAAAAAATACTAATACCGAAATAAAAAGCTATTTGCAGTTTCTTGCAGTGCATATAATTTAATAATTATATTATTTTTAGAAACATGTCTTATTGCATTTTCAATAGGTTTCAATGTCTTTTTATAGTTTCCTGACTTCAAATTTATTTAAGTTCACTCTGTCGGAAGTTGATGTTTCTAGTTTTTGGTAATACTGGCAACATTGGCACCGTTCTTTTTCTCTGTGAGTGTTGGAGACACGTGCGTCGTTTACGGCGAAATCTCTAAAATAATTAAAAATGACTGAAGGAACGGCAACAATTCGTACGCGCAAATTCATGACCAACAGGTAAATGTGATAATCTAACAGTTTCAAAGTAGTGAGAGTTAAAATAAGTGTGATAAGTTGGGGCCTCGCCATGACAGGTTATGTGTGACAACGTTTTTGATATTTTTGTAGATTGTTGGCGCGCAAGCAGATGGTATGCGATGTCCTCCATCCAGGCAAGCCCACCGTCAGCAAAACTGAGATCCGTGAGAAGCTGGCGAAGATGTACAAGGTGACACCCGATGTTGTGTTCGTATTCGGCTTCAAGACGAACTTTGGTGGTGGCAAGTCCACTGGCTTTGCTCTCATCTACGATACCCTGGACCTGGCTAAGAAGTTCGAGCCTAAGCACAGACTGGCCCGACACGGCCTGTACGAAAAGAAGCGGCCCACACGCAAGCAGCGTAAGGAACGCAAGAACAGGATGAAGAAGGTGCGTGGTACCAAGAAATCCAAGGTAGGAGCGGCCGCCAAGAAGTGATGTGACGGTTAGGACTGTAAGTTAATAATAAAATCCAAAAAAACTAATTTGTTGTTGTATTACTTTATAAACTTAGTGATGACAGGTGCATAAGAGGTTAACTTCTCACCCGCACTACACACAGTAATGTTGATACCTAATAACTAATTCTTGAAATCTAGTTCAAGTTTACCTATTGCAACTGAAATACTTTATTGAATTCAAAGTTATGACTAGTTTACTTGTCTAAATTTAATAACCATGATATTATTTCAAGTTTATTAGCATTCTTCAAGTTTGGTGATATCTGATCACCGCTGTTGATTGTTCATGAAACGATTTTTTTATTGTTCCTCTTTGAGTAAAAGTTTTCTATAGACTGTTGTTTCCAAAGATTACTGTGTGCGCTAGACAAGTGAATCTGCATCAGCAAGACAAACTAAACAAACATTTTGTTAAAACAGGAAGAATATTTTATTTGTAGGTACAGTTAAGTTTCTAGTGCAGCAAATAATTTGTCAAAATCAATATATTTTGGTTTCTTTAGGCAAATGAACAGCGTTTTGAGTAAAGATGAAGTATTTATTAGCTGTGACTAAGGTCAATATAGACCATATCTATATCTGCCTTTAATTTGCATTTAGTTTCTAAGTAC